ATATATAACATGAAATCTAACATATACAATATAAATAGTTATTATGCAAATGTATATAATAAAATATACATTTTAATATATTTTATATATACAATATTTATTATAATACCTATTTTAATATTATTATATATAATATATATCATACATTAAAAAAGCATTATGCATTTATATATATATATATATATATTTTTTTTAATGGACACCATTGTTGAGGTTCATATGCTGATTCTTGATGTCTGTGTGAGTCTGTTTAATATCATAGATGAAAAGTTTTATGCACAAACTGTTTGGAAAGTGTTTTATGTTATGTGATTGTCACAAAACCACTGGCTTTTAGAATCACTTTTACTGTAATCTATATGCATTATATATATATATATATATATATATATATAGTATGCATCAGTATCTATTTATCATCATATATTATATATTTATTCTGGCTTATAGAGAGACAGAGAGAGAGAGAGAGAGAGTGAGTATTACATATTGTGAAAAGGGGCATAATATGTCTCCTTTAACATGATCTCGTGCTGCAGATCTGGTGTGTTGTCTGTGTGATGATGGACTGACCTTCATCTGTTTGACGGTGTAGCGCAGGGTGCCAAACGGACCGTCGTTCAGCAGCTTCTTTCCCACTACTTTAGCCCTGATCACTGCAAACACACACAGAACCCGCCGGTTAATAAAGAGCACAGCAAGGCATCATGGGAGCATTAAAACTAAGGCTGCACAGATAAAATAATCCTAGAATGCATTGTGACGAGTGGAATAAAACATCCAAGCTGGTCAGAACTTGAGAAGTGCATTATTAAATCTGCTTTTTATTGATTAAAAACGATTCAAATCATGTTACGAATGCAATCACCCAATATTTTTGTGTGTGTGACCATATTGGCAATGACTAAAAACTACAAAAGGAATTTAAAAGATTAATATAATATTTAAAATGTATTTTAAATAAAAAACAATGTGTAATTAAGTTCGTTTTATTTTTTAATATTATATTTTTAATAGTGCTGTCGCATCCAAAATACAAATTTTGTTTACATAATATATGTATGTGTACTGTGTATATTTATTACGTATATATAAATACACACACATAGAGTATATATATTTTTTTTATATTTACATATATATATATATTTATATTCTTATAATTTATATTATACATAAATATACTTAATATATAAACACAACATATTTTTCTTAAATATATACATGCATGTGTGTGTATTTATATGTACGTAATAAATATACACGTATATTATGCAAACACAAACTTTTATTTTGGATGCGATTAATCGCGATTAATCGTTTGACTGCACTAATTTTTAAATATTAAAATTTTCCATATATCTGAATTTAAATATGTAAACTTTATTTAATAAATTGATTTTTATTTTAATATATTTTGTATAAAATATGAAAATGTATATATATATTTTTAGAAATATTTTTTATTTCTTATTGTTTATTTTAGTCTTAGCTATTTTAGTGCTTCAGTTTAAAATAATTAAATGATGCTGTGGTTAGAAATGATGAGTAGCTGACATAAAATAAGCTGGAATGCTGCTTATCTTCCTCTGCCGGAATTTCCTTCCCGGAATTCTGTGAGGCTCACATTCCTGAGAGCAGAGGAAAAGTTCATTCCTGCTGACATTCAGCCGCATTTATTCACCTAATGCTGCTCTTTCACACACATCAGGGTCCAAAAACAGAAGAATCATCACCCAGATCTGTCTCATATGAGTTATTATTGTTTACTACAACTAAAAGCATTAAAAAAACATTTTATTATTTGAAATAAAATAAACATTAACTGAAATAGATTCAAATTTAAATATAAAAAAACATATTTTATTTCAGCTAGTTGCAAAGGAAACACTTCTCATTTTCTTTTAGTTTTAACTTGAAATAAAAATGAATATGAATTATACAGATATAAAAAAAACAAATACTAATAAAACTGACAAAAACACACAAAACTAAATTACCTAAACTTTAGCTAAAATGAAAATGCAAAATATAAAAAAGTAATCCGAAATATTAATCTAAAGCATTCTGATGCTCCTGAAGCATTCACAAAAAAATAAAATAATAATAAAAATAATAAAAACAAAATTATTTAAAAAAAATTCAACTTTAACTAGAATTAAAATGAAAATGCAAAGCTTAAATATTCAAAATATTAATAAAAACTATAAAAACATTAGTCAACAATGAAAAATACTTCTAAAGCATTTATTAGTTAGTATTTTAATGTTAATTTTAACATTTACTAATACATTATTAAAATCAAAGGTTTTATCTGTTAATATTATTGATGGACCTGAGCTAACATGAACTATTGTTAACAAAGATGAATAAACACAAATGTATTGCTCATTGCTAAGTAATGCATTAACTAATGGGCCGAATGTTTTTCACTGTAAATGCTGTAATAAATATGTGTTGATAAACGCGTTTCAGCAGGAACCTCACTCTTTCGTGTTTCTCGGTTGCTAAAAGGTTCGACCCCGAGGTCGGCTCCGGGGTTCAAAGGTCACGTCATTGATAGGGCTGGGTAAAAAATATTGATATCTCGATATTAATCGATTCTAATTTTTACGGAACAATATCGATTCTTAAATCCCAAGAATCGATTAGTCTAGCCTGTTTTCAGTTAATGGACGGAACGTTGAAGGGCACTTCGCATCCAATAAATCGCAATAAGCATTGTGCTTTGGTACTTTTAATATGAAACAAAGTCTCAGATTTCAAATTCTGTCTATTGTATTGCAGTATTTAAACAATAAATGCCGTTTTGGCGCTGTTTAATGTGGAGTGATCGCT